CTGCAGGCTCTTGGCATCAACAAAGCAAACAACTGGTGAAATTGAAAGTGAAACTTAACTGTCTGCTGAGCTCTTAACACTACTTCTCACTCAGTGAAGCTTTTTTCAGATTCAAAATACCTTTGAGGAAATGTATTTTCAGATGCCAAGTAAACTGCATCATAGCCCACCCCGATACATGAAAAATGTACTTCAGTACAGTAACAAAGTACTTGTACCGATTTAGATCAACTTTACACATTCTCACAGTTTTCAGTTCTGCTGATTAAAACATCTTGACTGAGCAGCAGCTCTGAGCAGCTGCAGTGAAAGAGTCTTAATGGCAACCTTCAGAAAGATCCGTGTCGGTGGAACCCATGTAGGAGCAATAATGGGGCTTGTTGTTTCTCCGTCTCACAGATGCCTCCTTGTCATCCCGCAGCCGTCCAACACGTCACAGCGGTCCTCGAGTCGCTGCAGAGCATCAGCCAGCGAGGCCCAGATGTTCTCCAGCAGCTGACTGAGGGAAAGCGTGACATGTCCAGTCAAAGAGGCAGCATCCGACATGTTGGCCAACACCTGCCTTTACAGCTGCTCTGCCTCAGGTTCCGACTCGCTGCGTCCACGCAGCTTTGGAAAGCAGAAGAAAAAAAAACACCTTGAGAGAAGTTGTTTGAATTCACCATTCACTGGTGAAGTTGTCAGCCTCGCATATGGCTCTGGAAAAAAAATAAATAAATAAAAAGCTGCAGGGTGCTTTTACAACCTGATGCTGCTGTCGACTAAACGATAGAAACGACACCAACCTCTGTTAGCGTTCACGTGTGAGGACTTGGTGATCGCACACTTTACTTGTGTGYCTGTGTGATGTGGCATCTTTAATTTCAGAGCGCAGTGGAGTTRAAGTGAAATGAAGCAAATAATATTTCTGGTCACAGACTTTCAAATGCAGAGTAAACAATTCTAAATGCAATATGAAAGCTACACACAGAGAACTGTTTAGGCTTTGTGCAGATGGATGTGAGTCCCAACAGATCAAATTCAGGTGGAGTGCTCCATGTTCCACACTCACTTTGTGTTTTCCTTATCAATGTTTTACATGAGTTTAATATACAGACCGTTTTTCCTGAAAAAGAAAATTTTTACATAAAGAAAACAACATTTAAAAACATGTATTAGTTGTAATCAGCAGTGAGCTGTTTTTTTTCCATTCAGGTTCTACAAACAGGAAGTCTTTTTAATTCTTGCAAATCAGTTTCTTCTGAAGGTTCATGTCATTTATGTGTCCTCATGGATGGATGGATGGATGGATGGATGGATGGATGGATGGATGGATGGATGGATGGATGGATGGAT